CCCACTGTTCACTGCTTTGGAGTAGCTATAGCTCAAGCTGACTTGACTCTGAGAGTTCTACATCACACGACGGTTGATTGACAAATGGTCCAGTGGGACCTAAGGCTCCTTTTATAGCGCGCCTTCGTGTTTAAGAAATGTGTAGAAACCAGTGAAGAGAATATGCAGACTGAGTATAAAGGATCAACTGCTCTGAATTCCTTTGGGTTAGAAGTAAGGATGGTCTTCCTTGATGAGAGAAATTATCATGCAGATAAGATCTCATTAGATCTTGAATTTAATTGATGAATTTTTATTTTCCTCCTTTTATAGGTATGAGCCGTTTTTGACCAAAGAGTTTCCTTGTTCCACATGCAAAATGGACATTAATTCATTTTATCATCACATGCTGTACTCATAATATTTACAGTTTATAAAAACAGTTGTACACACCGGTTCAATCCTATAAAAAGATTATTTACAAAATATCGACACCTTTCAAATCGAACCTGAACATATTAGTTTGAAAAAACTTCGTTATTTTCCGTCACTGTAACTAAAACAACAGTGTTTGATTTCAAGTCCTTGGGTATTAAATTATACGCTTCAGCAATTAGGACAGAGGCTGCCAGAGAGGTAGCCCAGACGTGCAAAATCTGCTTGCTCCAATTTTCCATGGTGTTTTTCGTAGACTTAAGGACTCCAGTAAGCTTTTTGTTAAGCATTCTCTGAGCGTCTTCTACCGTGAAATCTCCATGATATTTCATAGCCCTTGTGACAGAGACACCTACTTTTGTTCTGAACATCATACACGTGTAATCGGTTATGGAGCCACCTTCGGGAAAATATTGCACTTCCATTTCGGTTTTGTGCAGATCGGCTCCAAAACAGCGCCGAAGAAGCTCAAAACTGAGAATTTCACTCTTTTCTGAGCTCCCCCCGGCGTTGGGAGATGTTGACATTCGTTTAGCTCCTGTTGACAAGGACATTTGCGACACCGGTTTCAGTTGTTTGAGTTCGGTGAATACCACGCCAGAATGTGTCTCCGTGCAAACTTTACGGCGAAGATTAAAAATATTTCCGTATTTGACGGTGAAGTTTTCTCCAATGTACATTTGAGCGTCTTCAAGGAGAGGATCCTCGATGGAGCTGTAACTCGCTTTTCGAGAAACATGGCTTCGATTATGAGTTTGCGTTTTTCGTACAATTTGGCCGTTCCGTACCGCTATGCCCATGTGGAAAACAATTTCGTTTCTTTCGTCGATGAAAAATTGATATTATGGTAGACATGTTTTGCTGGCTCTGTGTCGTTAAAGAATGATGAAAGCTATAGCACGGATTACCATAAACTCTTCCAATTTCTAATTTTGGTTTGTTTACATCGATTTCATCATCGTTGCATCATGCGTTAACAGAGCTATAAATAGATCAGCTACGACTTGACGTCATACTTGAAAAGTACCTCACAGGATTTTAAATAAAAACCTGTAAAAGAAATCATTTTGTCTTCGATTAGAGGATATGGAGAAAGTCAGTTTCCAAACCACAACTGTAAGAATTATAATTTTCTTTCTACACCATCGACTCTCCTCTTAAAGATTTAGCCTGTCTTTGGTTTGTGCTAAGATTACCAATGCAGGTTGTTATGAATCTTTAGCGACATAGCAATTCATCATGCCCTTGCTTTTCGTTGAAGTCGCGAGATGATTTAAGATATAGAACAGTTAAGAAGCTCCATAACCCGCATATTTTTGTACTGATGACCGCAAGTCTGAAAAAAGAGTTAGAGACGGTCTAGGGGATATTCACTGAGGCGAGGGGTGAATCGATAGGGGAGTGCAACCACTATCGGTGGTCCAGTGCCAAGTTCCCCAGGGGTATTTCACAAGCCATTCGCTCTGACCTTTCACGAAAGAACTACGGGACAAGTTTTCGAATAATTAGGGCCTGATTACATGAGCCGAGCTGGCCCGGTTAGCCGAGCTGATTTCTTTTGTTTTCACGCTTTGGCGAACACCAAAACAAAAGAAATCAGCCCGGCTGATGTAATCAGGCCCTAAGAAAACATCGTGAAATTTCTTCGTCCGCTGGAATATGCTCTGAAAAAAAAAAAATACCTCGAACTCGTACTTTCTTATTAGAGATTCAATTTCAAGCTTTTCATGATTCATCAAGCCTCGCATTTATTCAAAGCAAATTTGCACTTAACTGTTATTATTTAGTCGTCACTTTTAGCTATGATTGTGGAAAGACAATTAAATTTAACTTGTCCCCACTATGCACCGATCGATTCAAGCCTTCAACACCCCACCCCCAACCCCTCCCCCCTGCGCAACCAACGGGCATTTGACCATCGTCCGTGCCCAGGGGATGGGGAATTTGGTCCTCGTCTGGCTGGGGTAAGGAATTGGCACAAAAGAAAAGATCTAAAAGGTCTAGGTTTACGGTTTGGTCTATGTTTAGAAAGTCAGGGTCGCTGATTTTGCCTTTTACAAAAAAACTGGGTGGGGTATTTGAACACAATTTCTGCCTCGAGGGGCGGGAATTTGAACAAACCAGTCTTCAATGGGAATGTTGAAGCTTCGTATTGATCGACGCATAAGCTAGGGGAATATAGAGGCCAGGTACTTGAGTTACATTTTTTTCAACAACTTATCTATCTCGTCAGGCTTATAGCGCACCTTCATTTTACTCTATTCCCGGATCCCTGAAGGTCCGTGATCCCTGAAGGTCCCCGACCCCATGTTTCACGGCTAACGGTAACCCCATGGAGACCCCTTGAAATAGTTTGAAATAGGAAATACCCTATTGTTATCTATACATAATAAGCTGGCTCTTATTCCACCATACATTCGCATAGTTAGCTCTTTAGTTCATATCGTTTATCTAAACAAACATTATTGGGCAAAGGTTATAAGGTATTCAGGATAGCATTGATTATCCCGGAAAACAACAAAAATGTTAGGATTGATTTTGTTATCGACGACGGAATCGTAGAGAACTTCTGGCATGGAGGGATTTATTTCTGGAGGCTCAACATAGAGTTTATTTCCTAAGCAATACTGCCCAACTAGGACCTTGGCAAGGAACATGTGACGGGCCGCTCCACTCCCAGCGTAATTAACAGAGTATTTGGCGTCTCTGGCAAAGTATACACCACGTCCATAACATGTTCCTAGGGGAAAAAAGTTGAAGCTTGAACACCATATGTCAAGTTTTTTAGGAAGAAAAGGTAGTAAATAGGTAAGATAACAACCTCGTTCCCGGGGCCTTTTCCTTAGTTGGGGGTAGAGTTGGGGAAGGGAAAGGCCCTGGGAACGAGGTTGGGTAAGAGAACATAGGCTGACCTATGTTCTCTCGGTAATGATATTCGTATATTTAATTACAACTAAATACGTCACGTCTCTTAACACTGACTGATATCATATTGATAATAATATTGGCATGAAGACGGCAAAACTCTCTTCAACGTGGCTCAAATGAAGCATTTTCCATAATCATTTGAGATGATAGTTTGCCTGTGACCATCTGAGAAACTGCACACCTACTCCTCCCCCGAAACAATGTCAAACATAGCTCGTTATCAGTTAACTGTTGTTGGGTTAGGGGAGGGGTGAGTGTGCAGTCACTCAGATACTGAAATAGCCCATTTCCGAATTATCCTTGGCCTTATTTTCAAATCGAGTGCTCATCCTTTCATATGAGTAATAAGTTTTCATTCACATGCAAATTAAACTCATTTTCACAAGAATGGGTGAGCACCAGGCCTCGTTTTGAAAAAGAGGCCAAGCGTTATTCGGAAATGGGCTATTGATATAACGATTCTTGGGGAAAGTTGCAGCTTACATCAACCACAAAACATTCCCTAAAGATACCATGATATCAACTCGTACCGTGAACTCCACATAAACTTCTGTTGAATCCCTGCGACATGATTTTGCTGACATTTTGACCATCCGTCCCATGAAAAAGCATTCGTTCATTACTTCCTTTAGCGTCGTTGTCCATTTTATGTTTCCTCGCCATGTAAGATTGATATAGGGAACGATTCTGTATTCGTTCAATCTTAAGAATTCTAAATTCTTTCGCGGTAGTTTGAAACATGCGTTCGACGTCTTGATACTCCTTGCTGCTTTGGGCAAGGTCGATTCTGTTGACATCCATATTGGGGGGTGGAAATAGTGTCCATTGCGTTGGTAAGGGAAAACCTGGAACCAAGAAATAATGAAGTCTTTATTCAGATGAAGCGCAAGCATGAAATACATGAAAAGTAAGCCAAATGACAATTAATAACCAAGCATAGAATAATCAGCCAAAAAATCAAATATTTAGCAATATGATAGTTTGTTAGATAACACTGTATGCAATAATAATAATAATGATTTATCAATTTATAGTGCCTTTTTTTTTTTTTTTTTTACATACAATGATCAAGCGCATATCATACATCTAGCCTCAGAGCGAGAATGATAGTTTCTTTAAATATCCGTGGCATAGTAAATGTAATTGGAAATCCTACTAGGTAAAACAATCTCAAGCATCTGTCTCAACTTATTTCACTTCGCATCTGGTAAGCTAAAGATATACAAGTAAATTGCATGGTAAAACAACAACGTTTAACCACATCTAACCTTCAACAGCTCCCTTTGCCTTTCTTATCAGTTTCATTGTAGGGGAAGAATATTCTCCGACTCCCAATTTGTTCTTGACATCTATGACGAACTGTTTTCCACCAAGAGAAACTTTCACTGTTTGGTCTCCTTTAGAGTGCGCCAGCTCAATCATTGCGTTCTCTTTCGCACCAAACTCGATCACATCGCCGTTTAATTCATAACTCCACACAATGTTGTTTGATAGAATCTGAGCCATCTCTTCCTCTTTTTTCTGTTCTGTCCTCTCTTTGATCTTTTCCCAGATCTCTTGGAGCATTTGGAAAACGTCATTTGATTCACCTCGAACGACAATGCGATCAATCTCAACCCGGACTTCTATTTTGACGCCGTGTTCGACGGCTTTTCTTTCCAGTCCAAGGATCTGATTCTGAGAGAGGTTACTGATGACGTCACTTTCGACTGTTCTAAGGACTAAAACTTCAGCGAATTTATCACGTAAGCACTTTGCGGCATTTTCTACGCAGGGCTTGTCCTTACCGACGACGCAAACTTTTACGGAGTATCTTTGAACTGGCTCTCGTTCCTGCCTTCGCCCTCCTTTTCGTGACCGCTTTACAGCCTCCTTTTCTGAACCACTGCTTTCGTCGTCCTCGCTTTTCAGCTGTTGCCTCAGTTGCGTTTGCAAAAATTCGAATTCCTTTTTCAGGTGTGTTTTAAAAACGACTATTTTTACTTTTTGAATACTTTTGCAACTGGCACTAAAAGCACTGAGCGCTTGAAAAGTCACTTGAGCTGACTGTGCGGCGGCCAAATTGTACCCGCCTGTGCCAATACATGGAATTGATATTGATTTCAGGCTTTTAGTGTCTGCAAGACGGAGCCCCACTTCTAAGCATTGCTGAAGATGTTGCAGATCTGGCGAGCCAGGGATAATGTGAATAATGTGAGGTACTGTTAAATTTCCTCCACTGGTCATCGCAACTGAGCCCGGGGACATCTTCCCCACCTGGTGGCATTCTTTTAGCAACAGTGGACCACAAGCTTTTGCTATCGCTTTACTTAATTCGCCAGCGTTGTTTAAATTTATGTCGGCGCTGGCAATATTCATGATAGCATCACTGGTGTTCTCTTTGGTCAAATCACCCGTTGTAACCTCCACACTAAATGGGCTATTTAAGATTGTGCGTCGATTGGAGTCTTCTTCTAAATGGTGCGAGTGTTTAAACTGTTCCTGCTGAAACGCCGGTAACATTTTTGCATGGGAGATTACAATTCGGACTTTACGAACTCTGTTGCATTTTCCATTGAAGCTTTGGATTGCCTTAAAGATCAGGTTTACTGAGTCAACCGCAGACACAAAGTGTTTTCCAGTGCCTATCGCAGGAATGGAAATGGAGCTCAGACCTTGTGTTTCTGCCAGCTGGAGGCACTTTTCCACGCACTGCTGCAGGTGATCTTTATCAGAAGATTCTGGTATCAAGTGGATGATATGACGTGCAGGGAGATTTCCACCACCAGTAATCACCGCTGATATGGTTGGTTGTCTCGTCAACTTGTTCAACTCCTCTTGTACTGCCTGGCCACACATCTTTTTCACTGCCTTGCTAAGTTCCCCTGCATTGTCCATGTTCAAGTCTTTACCTAACACACTTACGATAGCGTCGGTTTTCTCCTTGCATATATCTCCCTGCACAATTTCAATCTCTACAGGATCCGATCTTGTCTTTGCTGGGCCTTGTTTCGTTTTTGGTCGAATAGTTTTCAGAATGTGATGAAGCTTGTACTTAGGGGCATCTTTGTACTTCGCTTTTACCTTATTCATCTCTTTATTAAAAGCATCTTTCAATAGCTGGTCTTGCTGATACACGACGAATTGAATATTCTGCAGTTTGGACATTGGATGGCCTCTGCAGAAGTCAAGTGCTTGTTGCACCATGATTTTAGAAGCTTTTTCACGAGGAAATTTGAGGTTTCCAGTTCCTATGACCGGAAAAGCAATGGATTTCGCTTCCAGCTCCTCAGCTTTCTCCAGACATTTTCTGACGATGGCTTGTAATGTCTATACCCAAAAGAAAAATGAAATGAACAACCAAGTAATTTCGAATTGCTTAAGCTTTTATCTGCAACTTAGCAGTGCCCAACTAAATAAATTCCTCTATGATACTTTGTCCACTTGATTAACATAACAGATCGACTTCGCTACTTTCAGTTACATTGACTTCAAGAATTACGCGCGTGCGCGATAAGAGGTCTGATGGGTCTGTACAAGGACATCTGAAAGATCAACTTGGAAATGACTGGTTCCATTCTCTGTGAGGGCCTCGCTCGTTTCACTGTTATCGACAGATGTATTCATCATTATGTCAATTTTTTGTGTTTTTTTTCATCCAAAATTCTATGAAAAATTATGAAGGGAAGATGTTACACTTTTTTTTGTTGCGTCTCTTTAAAATGCCTGTCTTTGCCCAAGCCTATGGTTGGGTTTCAGGTGACGTCACAAGCTTTGCTGAAGTTAGTGTCCGCCATGTTGGTGTCCCTCGGGTGTCAAATTTATGAATAATTAGTCGATTTCTATAGTGAAGCCCTCTCTCTTATCGCCGTATTATTTCGCCAACTACATGAATATCCAG